ATTGCCTGCGGTTTTGAATTGTGTTTTAATCGCGACACAGTGGTAGGGACACATATGTCTAATAGTTGTGTTCTCTTTTCGTTGTTCCGATTAGTGGCTGCTTGGTCGAATGGTTAGAACACTGGGTTCAAGTGCGCTAGACCTGGGTTCGAATCCGCAGTAGTTAAATTTTTTTTTTACCCCGGACTAAAATAATATCCTTATCTGCTCTGTCGTGGTGACAGCACTAGCCATGTTGCCTTAATATTAAAAAAAAACAAAAACCAGTAAATGGGTAAACCATTTGATAATTAAATTTGACCATTTCGCATACTTATGATTGCATTGTTAAACTTTCCGATTGCATGGTTACGCTGAAATTTTATAGATTTTCATTTATTTCCATTTAGATTTAGTTATTTCATCTGTGTTGGAATTTTAAGCTGTGCTGTTTACAATGGCGTTCATTTCCTAATTATGGTGTTTTTTTCCTGTGTTCATTTGCTTTTCAAGTGTTGTTTTTTTTCCTCAATGTGGGAAAGAGTTGTCGGCGAATTTGGGGGGAGGGGGGCAAACTATTAACTGAGAGAGCTTTAAGTCACAGTAACTGCTTTACCCACTTAAAGTAGCAGCAGCAGTAATAGTTGTGGTTGGGCTGTTACACCATAGTGCTCTCATGTGAAGACCGCCGGTAAGGTTATGGCGTTCTTCTGTCGGCAAGTGAAATTATACATCCTAACCTGACCAGTCTGTGGCGACAGCACTAGCCATGCAGAACCAAATCTTCTGGCTCACGACTCTCTGTCTACTCCGATGGTAACACAGATAGCAGTGACATTATTTTAGTAGTTGTACTGGTACTTGAAGGATGATGTGGTAAATATTTCACGAGCCCTATTCACTACCTTTTACAATTCCTGCTCCTTATTTTAGTCCAGATGGACAGGGATGTCAATGTCAGTTACAGCAACAGCAAAATATCGCCAGTTAGTGATTTTCAAATCCTTCGAAGAGGGAGAGAGCAGTAGTCGGTGGAAGAGGGGAGGGGAGGGGGTAATGACTTAAATTTAAGAGAACTTAAAGAGCTTTACACGTGATTTTCAAGTTCTCATTACCTAATTTGTTTATATTTTACTAACGCTACCTCCGCTTTTCTATTTTTTACGACTTACTTTGTTATTTACAAGTACAGTTGTAGCTTTACTTCCGTCTCCTATAAAAATACAAACAGCTTTAGCATGTGATAACCAAATAACCACTTTTGTAACCAGTTTTATTAGCTGTGGTTTAGCTGTTGCTCTGTACATCGCTAGCGTGAAGCGAAGACACATTTCTATGTTCTCTATTTTCCATGTAGTCAAATTACGCCACAGCAACGCGTGGCCGGGTATAGCTAGTTACTAATAAATTACAGACATTCATTAACTGGTGCCTGCGCAGAATAGAGGGAATAAAATGGTATGATAGAATAACTAATGTAGAACTTTGGGAGAGAACTAAACAGGCTCCAGTGGATCAGGAGGTGAGGAAAAGACGCTGGCGTTGGATAGGACACACACTGAGAAATCAGGAGAACAGCATAACTAGAATGTCTTTGCATTGGAACCCACAGGGGCATAGGAATAAAGGAAGGCCAAAAAACACATGGAGAAGAGAGCTGGAGAATGAGGTTAGAAAGATTGGGAGGACATGGGGAGAGCTCCATGCAATGGCGAAGGATAGAACGACTTGGCGTGAGTTGGTTGAGGGCCTATGCTCCATTGATGGATAGAAAGGCAGAAGAAGAAGAAGAAGAATTACCATTATTGTCATGCACATCTATTGTACAGACCTGGATTATTTATATGAGGACTGTTGGTTTCCCCAACTCTAAGGCTTACGCATTATAACCTTGAAGGAAATACATCAGATTAGCATACTTTTACCTCATGCTTGTAAGGGGGCGGTGGATTTGTTCTCTTTTCCCTAACGGGGATTCCCTCATTCATTCTTCTGGTGTGACCTACCCAAGAGCGCAGCAATTAGTGGTCTTAAGTACCCTGAGCCCCCCCCCCCCCCCCTCAACATGACAGCTAAACTGCACTCCCCCACCTAAAGTGTGTATGAGAGCTAAGCTGCAGCCCCCCGCCCCAAGGGTGTATGAGAGCTAAGCTGCACAAAAGTAGGTATGAGAGTTAAGCTGCCCTCTCCCAAAGCTAAGCTGCGCAAAAAAAGTTGGTGTGAGAGCTAAGCTGCAAAAAAAGTGTGTATGAAAGCTAAATTGCACTAAAAAGTGTGTATGAGAGCTAAGCCGCATCAAAAAGTGTGTATGAGAGCTAAGTTGCACTAAAAAGTGTGTATGAGAGCTAAGCTGCATCAAAAAGTGTGTATGAGAGCTAAATTGCACTAAAAAGTGTGTATGAGAGCTATCATTATTATTTTTTATAATAATATATTTAGCGCTAAATATATTATTATAAAAAAAAATAATGATAGCTCTCATACACACTTTAGGTGGGGGAGTGCAGCTTAGCTCTCATACACACTGGGGAGGGGAGTGCAGTTTAGCTGTCATGTTGGGGGGGCTCAGGGTACTTAAGACCACCAATTGCTGCGCTCTTGGGTAGGTCACACCAGAAGAATGAACGAGGGAATCCCCGTTAGGGATCAAGAACACAGAATGTAGGATCAAGGATAACGAAATGTAAAAATCAAAGACATAGATTAAATGCTGGGACCAAAGAACTAGAAATTTATGGATCAATGAAACATTTTGAAATTCACTTTGCAACAGGCAGATCAAATAATCACCTTAACCACTTGTCATAATTCAATTCCCTTTGCAACAAGCAGATCAAATAATCACCTCAACCACTTGTCATAATTCAATTCACTTTGCAACAAGCAGATCAAATAATCACCTCAACCACTTGTCATAATTCAATTCACTTTGCAACAAGCAGATCAAATAATCACCTCAACCACTTGTCATAATTCAATTCCCTTTGCAACAAGCAGATCAAATAATCACCTCAACCACTTGTCATAATTCAATTCACTTTGCAACAAGCAGATCAAATAATCACCTCAACCACTTGTCATAATTCAATTCACTTTGCAACAAGCAGATCAAATAATCACCTCAACCACTTGTCATAATTCAATTCCCTTTGCAACAAGCAGATCAAATAATCACCTCAACCACTTGTCATAATTCAATTCACTTTGCAACAAGCAGATCAAATAATCACCTCAACCACTTGTCATAATTCAATTCACTTTGCAACAAGCAGATCAAATAATCACCTCAACCACTTGTCATAATTCAATTCCCTTTGCAACAAGCAGATCAAATAATCACCTCAACCACTTGTCATAATTCAATTCACTTTGCAACAAGCAGATCAAATAATCACCTCAACCACTTGTCATAATTCAATTCACTTTGCAACAAGCAGATCAAATAATCACCTCAACCACTTGTCATAATTCAATTCCCTTTGCAACAAGCAGATCAAATAATCACTTCAACTACTTGTCATAATTCAACTGTATAAAAGAGTCATCCTGTTTTTACTGCTGCGAAAGAAACAATCTCAACACTTGACAACTGGAAAGTATTCTAGAAAGAGAGATTGAGGTGGACAACTCGAGAAGATTCTTAACAGCCTTTTGTCATGGCATGTAAAGGGTGCCAGCCCATGAAGTGATATCTGCTGCAGGGGAATGCAAGTTGTGGACAGACATGATCACCTATGCCAGTTGGCAAGGGATGTGATAATGCAGCAATTCACCACAGGCTAAAACAATGACTACAATAAAACACTTTTCATCATTCAACTGACTATACTCAGCATTTATTGACCAGTTTACTATGAAAACCTTTTATACTCGGCACATATTGAACAATTACTAGGAGAACAAATACTTTTCATTACTCAACTCATTTTATATCAAGCTATATAACGAACAATTACTATGAATACTTGTCATGACTCAACTCACTTTAGGCCTGCATATTCAACAATTACTAAAACACTTTCAATTATTCAGTTAACTTTAAGGGAGCCAGGACAGTTGGACTTTTGTTGTCTGTTTCGGCCACTAAGCCCATCAGCCCTCTACAGAAATCTGTGCTTTAGCCATTCACAAAAATAACTGATACAGCATATCATATTCTCCTCCCTTTATTGTGTTTCTTTGCACTTATCTGAAAAGGCTACAGGTCCTATTCTGCTAGCTCGGGATCAGGGAGAGTAAACTATCATCTTCTAATGTCATAAAAACCCAACCATCTATATATTTAATTTCAGGTCAGCTTTAATCAATAGTCCCTCAGCTCACTACAGAAACTTGAAAATGCTTTAGTAATGCAGATAGTAACTAACAATTCACCATACACATTCAAACACAAACTTGAATGCACTTCAAGAAAGCAGTAGTCAATCAGACTCGTAAACTTGATGATAACTGGCAAGACTGATGAAAAAAGAGCAAGGGGAGCAAAGAGACAAATACTTTGATGGTCCTGGTCACAAGAGCTCTGATGACCTCCCCCTACAGAGTCTGTTAGAAGATGCAGGTATAGGCCCAAATAGTTTTCTCTGCTCCATTTACGCTACAGTAAATTTAACTGACACAACGTATAATGGTTTATTTGGCACAGAACCAATAGAAAAACACAAACCCCAGTGTGGGATCAAGCGCCCATTTTAGTGTGGGTATGGGGGAGAGAATAGACCAGCTGACATCTAACAAGCATGTCAAACAAGGTGAGTTCCCTTCAAAGTTGGAGTCCATCTGCCAAAAAGGAGAGGAACCAAAAGTCTGCATGCAAAAAAGCCAGATCTGTAAAACGGATGCACACACGAAACTCATGTTCTGGAAAAAGACCAGTTGAGAAATTGACAAACAAACAGGACTTTCTGCTGGAATTTACAGTGAGCACAAACAAACAAACAAATGCTAACCACACTTCATAAATGTAACCAAAACACACAAATATGCAGAGAAAAAAAAAATAAAAACCAGATAATAGAATGCTAAACTATCATCTCAAGCTCCCTTGCATATTCGATTGTTCGCTCTGCAAGTGTTTTAGCCGGGATGGTATGATCAGCATCTTTGGCCTCTTGTGTGAAGTAAAAAAAGTTGTCTTTCTGTAGATTCCATTTCCTCTGAAAAATGTCAGCATATTTTCCATGTAAACATTTCAAACTCCTGCCCAGATTAAACAGAAGCAAGTGGCTAAATGAAAAAAAAAAATCAACTCTAAGGTCAACTACTGTAAAAAAGAATGTAAAAGTAAAGGAGCCTTTTCTATGCCTTAGGCATACAGGGCTAGACGTATATTTTACAGACCAGTCGGCACTCAGTAGGTGATGTGGTCAGCATCACGCTGGCCACCTTTACTTCCCAGAACTTTACCTAGTACCCATTCATGGCTGGGTCAACCTGGACCCTTTATTCTTACAAAAGCCTTGCTCAGTCAGGATCTGAACCCACAACTTTGAGATCCGCAGGCGAGCGTCTAGCCGCTACACCACTGTGGCCCCCAAAACAGAATATGTAGAAAAGGTCTACACAGAACTCAGAATGTAGATTGTCAGGAGGTAAGAAAATGATCATTCAAAGAATAATACTATAGGCAAACTATCTTTGTCAACTGAGTGTCTGAGATAAGTAAGTTTTTATGAGCAATATAGAACCAGTCAGGATACATGGAAGAGAACTGATAGTCAGCAGCCTAGCAAAAATTAATATAGGAGCTGTAGACATGGTTTTATAGAGAAATTATGAGAACACTATGCATAGATGTTAGGTGTAGTGAAGATGTCTTGACAGAAATTAACACACAAAGACTGCTGATTACATCAGAAAGAAGCAATCTACATTCTTTTGTCATTCAGAGAGAAGAGGGAAACTGGAGCATGTTGTAACAGTAGGACAATTGGAAGGGAAGAAAAACAAAGGATGACGAAGAGAGAAGATGCTAGACAGTTTGGCACCACAACTGGGAAGATAATCTGTGTCAGAAATGACTACCAATGCCACATGGCATGGGCTATGAAGACAAAAAAAAGCACCAATCTCAACATATAGCGGTGTTCAAGGTACACAGTTTTGGCATCAATGAGGATGTTGGCCGCATTAATCTGATGGAATATTTCCGGACAACTATTTTAGGTTAGGTCTGGTCTCAGTTAAATATTTGTTTGTAATCTCTGCCTTGATGGGGATCTGGACATACGTTCACTGGACCTGCAGACTAGCCTCTTCTCGACCTCAAGGTCAAGGTACCATACTGAAAGCAACGACACTTAGTGTTGACTACATATCATGCCTCTTTAATTATCCATGGCTTCTTCAACTTCTTCAGCATTCAGTGTCTTTGAGATTCACTGCTGCCATCACACCTCCATTCTCTCTCTCTGAAAGGTCTTCTTTTTCCAGTTCTTGACACCAAGTACTTGTAGGTCTGCCTGTATATTATCTCTCCATATTCTTCTTGGTCTGCCTCGTGGTCTACTCCCATTTCAATTCTGTGTAGGCGATTCTCTCTATATGCCCCAACCACTGTAGCCCTCATAATGCTAGTAATTAGTGGTGATCATGTTATGAATGTTGTTGTTGTTGCCTCTCCCTGCTCATTCTCCGCTGCATGCACCTGGGATGAATTATCCATGGCTGTCTACATGTAAAGAAATATGGACTGTCTCTGCTATCCCTGAGACATACTGTACTTACATGGGTTTTTCTCTGGTGGCACCCAGTGACAGCAGTTCAAGCACCTGTTTTAGGGGCATCATTTCTTCACTACTGTAACAGACACTGTTTGGTGAGCACTGGCAAATTCTTTAAAAGAAAAAGTGCTGGTACTAAAGCAACATTTCTATAGGCCAACCAGCATCTTTTCTGCTATGTCTGAGTTTAAATCTAAAGTAAATGGTGAAACGGATGGGACCTACCTGCCCTGAATAATCCTTCATGGGTTTTTGAGACTCAAAGAAAAGCATTCTGGCAGCTTCGTTGAGATTGATGCGATTGTAGGCCTTCTCTATACAGCCAGCAATTTCATCTCTGAGGATAGATATAACGGCAAAGGAAGTGTTACAGCAGAGAGAACCTGTGTGGGTGGATAGATATAACGGCAAAGGAAGTGTTACAGCAGAGAGAACCTGTGTGGGAGGATAGATATAACAGCAAAGGAAGTGTTACAGCAGAGAGAACCTGTGTGGGAGGATAGATATAACAGCAAAGGAAGTGTTACAGCAGAGAGAACCTGTGTGGGAGGATAGATATAACGGCAAAGGAAGTGTTACAGCAGAGAGAACCTGTGTGGGTGGATAGATATAACGGCAAAGGAAGTGTTACAGCAGAGAGAACCTGTGTGGGTGGATAGATATAACGGCAAAGGAAGTGTTACAGCAGAGAGAACCTGTGTGGGTGGATAGATATAACGGCAAAGGAAGTGTTACAGCAGAGAGAACCTGTGTGGGAGGATAGATATAACAGCAAAGGAAGTGTTACAGCAGAGAGAACCTATGTGGGTCTCAGAAGGAAGTGTTACAGCAGAGAGAACCTGTGTGGGAGGATAGATATAACGGCAAAGGAAGTGTTACAGCAGAGAGAACCTGTGTGGGTGGATAGATATAACAGCAAAGCAAGTGTTACAGCAGAGAGAACCTGTGCGGGTCACAGAGCCCCATTTTTGGAGGACAAAAATAGAACCTAACAAGCAGGTCTGAAAAAAACGACCAATTAGGGGTTTTCTAAAAGCCGATAAGTTCAGCCAAAAGGCGACGGCATTATAACAGCGGAGTTGAAAAAAAAAAAACCATAAAGCAATTAGCCAACTGCCCTTGTAAGTAGAATAACAAGTAGACAGAGAAGAGAAACAGGGATGTTTCTCAACACAGCGTCTCAAAGTAAAAAAAAAAAAACATGCATCTAATCCAGAATTAAAAATCAGAGATTGCAGTAAATGAGTAGAAAAAAAACTGAAGAAAAAACCTACATGAAGACAAACTACATCTAAAAAGATCAACAGAGACATAGAAACAGAAGCACATAGATACAAGCAAATGTTTCAACCAGTCTTCATCAATGAACAAAGCCATCTGAACACTGGATATAAAAACGATGCTAAAAACTACAGGAATTTCCGTGGAAAATCCTTCAATCCAAACCAAAAATAAATCAATTTATTAACTATTTACAAAGTTATCAAATTTTAAAGAATTCCTAAAATATTTAAATACATATAAATCAATAAACACAAACAGAGTGAAGAATTAAACTGAATACACTCCCTGGGGTGTAACCCAAAAAAATTTATTGGTGACTCATGCTGTGACAGCTATCATAGAGGCTTATGGGAAAATGCACAGGCACACATAGGACCAAAGGAAGTTAAATACGCTTTCTGAGAACAGGTCACTGCAAACATGGCCATACATCAGCATTTACGGGGCTGTGCCAGAACCAGAAGTGACTAGATTTAGCCTCGGGGTGACAGGGTTAACACAATTTAACAGGAAGGTAATCCATGTGCAGGAAAAAGTTTACTTTTCCACCGGAGTGTGTTAATCTGCTTTTAAACTAGTATTCCTGTGGTCTTGTTCATTTTTATAATATTCAATTAAATGAATGTGCATTTTCCCCTCCCCTCTGCCAAACTTAGCTTTACGCTGTACTGTGCACTAATTTATTATGCATCATATAAAGACCTGTTAGTGCATTCAAGAAATTCAATTATCAGCTCCAAATAACTTGTCTAGCAGGGATGCCCCTGTGGACTAGACATCAATTCTCTGGGCAAAATCTGGACAGACTTGTAGTATGTACTTGTGTGTTTACTTGAGTGCTCCACGGTGGCACAGTGTCTGTCATCCACGTGGCAAAGCTGCGCTTTGAGAACACAGCGTAATGATCTAAGCCTAAATATGTCTGTTTTAACATTTTTATTAAAACTGTCATGCTTCATTTTCTGTTCTCCCTTTCTTTTAGGATGGTCTTTCCCCTCTATCTTGTGTGGTAAAGGGACCTGCAAGTTCTAATGACCGCAAGAGATAGGCTGATATTGGCTAAACTACTGGGAGGTATCTCCCCATGTTGGTCTGATTAGGGACAGACGCCAGACACAACCTTGCCGTCTCAGAGACAGACTGGGGGAAAGGAGGGGGGGGGGTAAAGGCTACAGATAGCAATTTTATGAAAATGACAGTCGAAAAAATGCATGTACTGAAACACAGGTTTGACAAAACAGTGCAATGTCACACATGATGATGATGTTTGTCTTTGATGGAAAGAGTCAGGCACGATAAGTTGGCTATCCTCATCATCACGTGGTTAAACGCCACATAAGGCTGGCGTCTGATTGCTCCACTCCATTGCATGCAACTCTCTTGATTTCCGACATGGAGTTCAGCCCAGCACTTTTCGCCTCTCATAATAATGTTCTTCTTAATATTTCCCCTGGACATCCTCTTTTTCTTAGACCGTTTGTTTCTCATTTCAGTGCCTGTTTTGTAATTCTTAGCCCATTTCATCTCAGAGTGTGCCCAATATATCTCCACCATCTTTGTCTTACTGCAGTCAATATAGGTATTTGTCCAGACATTTCTTTATCTCCTCCCTCCTCTTTAATTCATCCCATTTTATGTTCAGGATTTTTCTTAGACATTTATTTTCAAATGCATTTAGCCTTTGTTCCATATCTTTGGTGGTTCTACAGCTTTCGCTGGCATATGTTAGAATTTAAATAACTTAAAACTGAAGATTCACCGTTTGGTCTTAAAGCTGCATAAGTTGGAGCTCCATATTTTGTTAAGGCTGTTAAAGACTGTTGTTGCTGTGCCAATGCATATCATAATTTACTGAACTGTATCTCTTTGAGAGTCAACATTGCTTCCCAAATAGGTGAAATGGTCCATTACTTTTATTGGGTTTTTCTTTCTAGCATGACATCTTTATGATCTGTTTGTTGTTGATATCTTTAATATATTTATTTTCTTATTACTTATTTGTAGCCCTACTTTTGATGCTGTAGACGACATAAAGTTTGTTTTTTTCTTTGCATGTTTTTGTTATTTTTTACTTAACAGAACAATATCATCTGCGAAATCCAGATCTTCCAGTAATCTATTCTCTCTCTCTCTATATATATATATATATATATACACACAAGCATGTCGTAAAAGTCGACCAATTAGGGGTGTTTCCCTAGAAATTAACAATACATCTGCCTGAGAAGCAAGGAACCAACAGTCTGATGAAAAACAAGCCAGGTATGTAAAACGGATGTGCATGCAAAACTCAAGTTTTGGAGCAAGGCTCAAGTCCAGACGTGGAAGAATAACCCCAATTTTCTGGCTGGAGTTAACAGCTGGTGAACATGAAGAAGAAAATACATCACAGCCAGTTTAAAGCTTCGGGAATCCCAAAGCAGACTTAACATCAACAACAAAAGCCCCACATTCAGCACTTACCGAATTGTATTGAGTAAAATATCAATAAAGAAATTGTAGTTGTCTGCAGGCACATTTCCTCTGGCCAGGAAAACCTGAAACAGAAGATAAATACTTATTAAAAACACTAGTATCGGTTGGAAACAAGGCCGTATGGTTTTACAGAAATCTACTTGTCCATTAAAAACTTCCATAGTCAAAGTTCTGCTGCTGTCAAACTCCTTCTAGCTTGTTTGTTCATTTTGAGCAAAGTGTTCAAAAAAAACAAAGACGTTTTCTCCTTCACTTTCACCCACTGTAAACTCCAGAGGGAAAGTTCAGGTTATTCGTCCACTTTTGGGCTTTTGTCTTGCCCCAGAATGCGAGTTTTGTGTGCATATACATTTTACAGATCTGGCTTATTTGTATACAGACTGTTAGTTCGTCACCTCTCAGGCAGACGCACCCCAACTTAGAATGATACACTCTTAATTGGTCATATGTTTCCCACATGCTTGTTTGGGGTGGGGGCAGTAAGTCTGCTGAGGATGGAAAGGGGGGGGGGGGGGTGCAGTGGGTCTAATCATTTTCCTCCCCAAAAATTGACATCCTTAACCCAAATGGGAAATAAAAAGCTCTTAATAATTCTAAAAACATGAACAGCTGCCACCTCCAATGTGGAGATGGCCAAAAATGTAATTTTTAATGAAGCAAGTTTCCACATGGGTCCCCAATACAGAAGTATTAAAAAATACATGTAAGTAAAAATATATTCTTTTTCTTTAACACTCTGAGCCTTTGAGGTTCATTGCTGAAGATATTACCCCTTCCATTAATATCATCTGTGACTGGTCTTCTCTTTCCAGTTGACTCCAAATGCTTGCAGGTCTGCCTGTAGATTATTTTGTCACCATCATTTTGGTCTGTCCCGTGGTCCATTCCCATTCAACTCTTTTGTGCCTGCAGTTTTTGTCTGTCTGGTATCTGACATTCTCTCCACAAGCCCCAGCCACTGCAGTACTTTATTCCTCATAATGCCAGTAATTTAGTGGTGATTTATTTAAAAAGATTATGAATTTTATTACACTGTTGCTTCTCACTCTCCATTCACCACTGTTTGCATCTTTGATGGATTTGCAAGACTCTTTTCTCAAACATATATAACAATGTTCACCTCTTTTAATTGTTATCCAGGTAGGTTTCAGAGCCATATAGGACAATTGGTTTCAGCAGTGTTTTATTTACTGTGATTTTAGAATATATGCATATTATTATTCCCTGTACAATAGCTAGTGGCAGCCATTGTGCACTGGATCACAAATTATTCCTCCCCACGACGCTTAACAGCAGAAGTGGTTTATGATGATGATGATGCTGATTATTCCCTGTGTGGGTTGCGGGGCCCACTGTGGGGAAAACAAGAATAGACCCACAAATAGCATGTTGTATGAGTCCATTAATTGGGGGCTTCCTTGGAAGTCAGAGTGTCTGACAGGCAACGAACCAACAGTCAGCTTATAAAAAAGCCAGATCTGTTAAACAGCTGTGCATGCAAAACTTACAGTTCTGGGAGAAGACTAAAGTTAAGAAATGGATAAACAATCAAAACTTTCTGCCAGAGTTTACAGTCGGTGATTGTGGAGAAGTATGTATGTATGGTATGGTATGGTATGTATGTATGTATGTATGTATGTATGTATGTATGTATGTATGTATGTATGTATGTATGTGGTGTGTGTATAACTTAAAGCAGCAAACAACATGAAAGCTAATATAAACACATTCTCAGATATAGCAATACCTTATTATAGTTTCCCTCCATCAGGTACTGCTCCATGCTCACTGGATGTTTAATGTAAATGTTGGACTGAATTTCCTTCACTGGCAAGCGTTCCAACTCCTGGAATGCGTATTTTAAAACTTGAATTCATGTTTCAGTTATATGTGTTTAACAAGCACATTTATTAACATAGTTATGTCAGCCTGACAGGAATCTTCTTCCTCCTAGCATTCCCCAGCTGTAAACTCTGGCGGAAAGTTCTGGTTGCTCATCCACTTCTTGACTTTGGTCTTGTTCCAGACCTTGGGTTTTGCACAGAAATTTGTTTTACAGATCTGGTTTATCTGTATGCACTACTGCTGGTTCCTTGCTTTTGACTTTCAAGGAAACATCCCTCATTAGTGACCTTCTATGACATGTTTGTCGGGGACAGTGACAGTGAGTCTATTCTTTGTTCTCCAAAATGTAGCCACCGAACCCACACAGGGAAAAGCAATGGGATCAAGAAGAGCAAATTACACATGGATACAGGAACCAGAGAATAAAGTGCAAAAGATTAGGCAAGCTACACGCAAGAGCAAAAGATAGAACCTTTAAAGCCGTCTCCAACTGTTTTCAGGTCGCCCCCCCCCCCCCCCCCCCCCCCCGAGTATATTGCAAGACCCTGCAGCCCCTTGAGTATATTGCAAGACACTGCAGCCCCTTGAGTATATTGCAAGACACTGCAGCCCCTTGATTATTTTGCAAGACACTGCAGCCCCTTGAGTATATTGCAAGACCCTGTAGCCCCTTGAGTATATTGCAAGACCCTGCAGCCCCTTGAGTATATTGCAAGAACCTGCAGCCCCTTGAGTATATTGCAAGACCCTGCAGCCCCTTGAGTATATTGCAAGACCCTGCAGCCCCTTGAGTATATTGCAAGACCCTGCAGCCCCTTGAGTATATTGCAAGACCCTGCAGCCCCTTGAGTATATTGCAAGACACTGCAGCCCCTTCAGTATATTGCAAGACCCTGCAGCCCCTTGAGTATATTGCAAGACACTGCAGCCCCTTAAGTATATTGCAAGACCCTGCACCCCCTTGAGTATATTACAAGACCCTGCAGCCCCTTGAGTATATTGCAAGACCCTGCAGCCCCTTAAGTATATTGCAAGACCCTGCAGCCCCTTGAGTATATTGCAAGACCCTGCACCCCTTGAGTATATTGCAAGACCCTGCACCCCCTTGTGTATATTGCAAGACCCTGCACCCCCTTGAGAATATTGCAAGAACTTGCACCCCCTTAAGTATTCAACAAGACCCGGCACCCCCTTGAGTATATTACAAGACCCTGCACCCCCTTGAGTATATTGCAAGACACTGCAGCCCCTTAAGTATATTGCAAGACCCTGCAGCCCCTTGAGTATATTGCAAGACCCTGCACCCCCTTGAGTATATTGCAAGACCCTGCACCCCCTTGAGTATATTGCAAGACCCTGCACCCCCTTGAGTATATTGCAAGAACTTGCACCCCCTCAAGTATTCTACAAGACCCGGCACCCCCTTGAGTATATTGCAAGACACTGCAGCCCCTTGAGTATATTGCAAGACACTGCAGCCCCTTGAGTATATTACAAGACCCTGCAGCCCCTTGAGTATATTGTAAGACACTGCAGCCCCTTGAGTATATTGCAAGACCCTGCAGCCCCTTGAGTATATTGCAAGACCCTGCAGCCCCTTAAGTATATTGCAAGACCCTGCAGCCCCTTAAGTATATTGCAAGACCCTGCAGCCCCTTAAGTATATTGCAAGACCCTGCAGCCCCTTAAGTATATTGCAAGACCCTGCACTCGTGAAATTCTCATAAGTGCTCTGTCCCTATCTTCAACAGCAAGCAAAGAGTTGCAATTCGGATGGCACCAGTCTCACCTTTCCCTCAATCTCATCCCAAAGTGGGATGCAATTTTTTGTTTTTTGTTTTAAAGCCCCATCCTGGCTGTTGCCAGATGCCCTATCATAACCCAACCTCTGGATTGAATGGGGTTTCTGGGACCTGTCCCTTGGTGATCCTCATCTGAATGCTGGCACTCTGTGTCACTGGGAGTTTGTCACTTAGTGTGATGTTCTGGTGGGGTTGAGCATCATCATCACCACTATATAAGCCTTCAGAATACCAGTAATTAGTATTGCCTTAAACAAACTATGTACTGTTTTGTTTCTTTTCACTCTCCATTTTCTGCTGTTTTTATCTTTCATGGGTAAAAATTTGTTGTCATATTCTGTTTTCAAAAGTCTGAAATAAAGTTTTTTTTTTTTTAAAGCTGTACTCCAGATTTCCTAATATGACAGATTAATCAAATGATTGTCCCATACAGAAAAAACAACAATCGTAGTGACTTACAGTGTGGAATTCTGCCAATCTATTTTGCGAAAGCAGACATAGCAGATTCAGTCCAAGCAGCTGGTACTTGAAAGTTGATTCGGGTAAGTTGTCCCTAAGCAGACAATTAAAAATCATTAGGTCAACAACTAAACTACTGCAACTTAAATCTGAATAATGAAAACACAAATAGTAAATTACACAATATATTTCTTGGTATATTTTGCTCTTCTTGTGTGCATCATCATTATGTGCTCTGTGGATTAGTGTTGGCAGTCACAGCTTAACATCCAATACAATCACCAGAATCCAGGATCAGGTCAGTGCTCTCGATATAGATATTTATCTTTTTCCATAAATTTTGCAAGATCACATCCAAGCATCTGATCAGTGAATTCTTTCCGTAGGATGTAGCACCTTAATATCGACTTCTATATCTTTCCTATGTGGGTTTTGGGGCCCCAATAGGAGAAAGCAATAAAAGGCTATCGAGCTGACGGTACTGAAGAGATTAAAACCAATGTGACACGACAGCTGAGCGCTATAACAGTCAGTGCCTATAAGAGATGCTTCCACTACTGGCAAAAATGCTAGAATAAGCGTACACAATGAGAAAGAAATTACTCTGAATGTGACAACACCCACTAAACACTAGGTCTACCAACTTATTCAAACAAAATTTAGTCCTGGAACTTAATTATCAGTCATCAAAGTGCAAATACTTCTGGCTCATGGTTACAAACTTGCAACTCCATATGAATACTTTCCTACCATTAATAACCAATGTGAATTAAGCCTAAGCCACAAAATTTCTCAAGGGCTTGGAAACATGGGTGTTTTTTTTTTAGAAGAAAGCTTACATTTCCTTAAACAGCAAAAAAGAGCAGCCCAGATGTTTTGACAGAGAGAAGGTTCAAAGACAGCTTATCACAAACAGAAAGAGAGAGTTATCATTTTTTGGTCATGTTATGAGAAGGAAAACCAGAACATACTGTGAACACTGGAAAGATCTGTTGAAAAAGACACAGAAAGACAACAAGAGACAGCCTTTTATCATGTCATAGGGTAAATTAACTGATACGTGCCGTTAAAGTTCGAAGACTGCGGAGAGGCATGATCGCCACATTGGTCAGCAAGGCAGTTGATGATGATGAACCAAGATCCATATGGAAAATAAATCATGCACAACACAGGACATGAAACAGCTTATACTCACTTATAATCCATGTAATAACATTTCAGCTGGGCCATGTACCTCTCAAATGCTGGTATGTCCTTCTTAGCAATTGCCCATTGTGCTCCAATCTCTAAAATATCACCTGATGAATACAATCACAGATCATATACTGTATATGCCAGCAACCATCCCCAGTCCAATCTAAAATATCACCTAATGATACAATCACATACTGTATATGTCAGCAACCATCCCCACTCCAATCTCTAAAATATCACCTGATGATACAAATACAGAGTGTATATGTCAGTAACCATCCCCACTCCAAGCTCTTTAATATCACCTGACGATACAAATACACATCATATACAGTATTTCAGTAACCATCCCCACTCCACTATCTATAATATCACCTGATGATACAATTACAGATCAAATACAGTATGTCAGTAAGCATCCCCAATTCAATAAACCGCTTCTTAATGCAAAACTCGACAATAAGAAGACACTGCAAATACAATGGTTGTAACTTTGTCACCTGAGAGAGTCGGTTTTAGGACTTTTACAGGTTTTGATGACATTACATCTTTGGAAACCGGTCATCACACCCATATAACATCTTTGGTACCAGTTGCAACTGCACAGTGTGTAGACATTGTGGGTTATGATTATATTTACATTAAAAATGTCAAATATTTTCTTTGGTGAAAAAAAAAAATGATTTTTTTTTTGTCATTGTGACAAAATAGTGGCATCACTTTGCTCAGTGTGTCTATTTTAACAAAATACATTTGCAATGCTCAAAGGTAAGAAAAGCAGTTAATTTTTCTTGTGTGTGCTCACTTTGCATTTAGTTATTATTTCCTTTATGTTAAAAAAAAAAAACAGCAAAATAATGTTTCTTTTTCTTAGCGTTCACCAGCTGAAACTGTGCCACCACTGAGTGTAAAATCTTACATGAATCCCTTTCACATTAATTAAAATCAAATAAATGATGAGCGCATTTTTTTTTAGAGCCTGAACATGTCGATTTCTAAATACTCGTGCTGTATTTTCATAGTCAAGGCTGTGCTGCAATGGTTATCATGTCTTTACAACCTGCTGCATTCTGATTATTAAGAAATAAAGGCATTATATATATATATATATATATATAGTTGTGCATAACAAGAAAGTGTGGAAAAGAGACTGAATACAGATGGGGGAAAAAGCATAAAGGTGAGATGAAGAAACAGAGAACCAATGAGATATTCTTCTACTTCACATTCACCAGTTGTAAACTCCTGCACAAAGTTCTGGCTGTTTGTCCACTTCTGAACTGTAGTCCAGTTCCAGAACCTAAGTGCTGCATGTGCAGCCATTTTACAGATCTGACTCATGTGTATGCAGACTGTTTGTTCTTTGCCTCTCAGGCAGATGCACTCCTAATTTCATAGGAAGCTTCCAATTAGTTGACTCTCACAACATGCTTTTGGAGAGGCAGTGGGTCTATTCTTGTTTTTCTATAATTGGGCCCCAGAACCCACACAGATAAACGAGATAATGATGAACAAAAACACAGAAAAGATTGACAGATGCAGAGGAGGTTAAACAGAGATGCAGAGAGATGCAAATCAGGAAAAAAAGTAAAAACATTATATATATATATATATATATATATGAGACAAATACTTACGGGCAATTAGAAGCTCTTGTTTAGTGACAGATGATTCAGTTGTTGGCAAGAAAGCAACACTGGTGAGTGCAAGCTGTAGTGGACAAGGTTATACTGACTTTGTTAGATAGTTTACAAAATGCTCTTAAACTGTCTGTCTTTAACCTTTTTTTATTTTCAAACTGTGCAGCGACTTTACCATATTCCCTCATACACTCATTCTGTCCCAAATATTACATCATGTGTGACAAACTATATTTAATATGTGCCAATCAGTGTGTCAACTATATTACAATTCTTTAATTTGGTCACAGAAAACCAAAGAAATATAGCCATGTATGGTGTACATAAGGTTGGGCTATTCAGCTAGGTTTACTCAGCAGCCAAACTATTGAAAATGGGGATCATCAGAGGCCAGAGACCTAGCACAGAAAGATCATGATTGACAAATTATTTGCCCAGGGTTACCACAGCCATTGGGCCTCATTAGAAAGATCATTAACTCTTTGAGTCCCATGGGGTTTAGCATCACAGACCCAATGAGTGATAAAGAGAGACTAAATTCGACATATCATGCGTTTATTGGGCTTCTAGGTAAGAACCTATGGCTCTCCTTGCACCTTTGGACGCAAGCTGGACGGCTTAGGTCGGCTTAGTGGGAATTCTCTACCTTGGCCTCATTGACAACAACGAGCGGAAAAAGTCACGAATCAAACAAGACAGTGAGGTCGACATCAGGGCTGCCAATGCTTGGTTGTGTCCCCCAGATCTGGGTTTTTCTTTTGATGCTGCGGGGAAATCTGGGGTTTTTTGTGTGTGTGGGTGTTTTGCCGATCTGTATGTTTTAATGACCGATAAATTTGCGTGGTTAGGGGTAGGGTTAGGGTTAGCAGTAGGATTAGGGTTTGGGTTAGGGGTAGGGTTAGGATTAGGGGTAGCATTAGGGTTACGGTTAGGGTTAGGGGTAGCGTTAGGGGTAGGGTTAGGTTTAGCGTTAGATGTGACACTTTTGACGCCGTTGTTCCCTATAATCGCGCAGTCACATACACACCCAAACAGTCGACGGACAGTGGATGCTACTGACACGGACAATTCGCCACCGATTGGGCACCAGCCGCCGCGCTATTGCCATCATATTTGGCACACTTCCAGTGGCGCCACTCCCACAAGCATCAGATTGTCGCCCAGTATTTGGACGTTCTACGTCACCATTGTCACATCTAACCCTACCCCTAACTTCTAACCCTAACCCTATCCCCAACCCACACCCTATGCAACCGTATGATGATGATGATAGACACCCTACGCAGCCCTACACGCAACAGTATGAGGATAGGTAACCCTAGACGCAACCGTATGATGACTACACAACCCTACACGCAACTGTACGCATCCCTACACGCACCCGGATGATGATAGGTAAGTGTGTCATTTGATTCGTGACTTTTTCCGCTTGTTGTTGTCAATACGGCCAAGGGAGAGAACTCCTACTAAGCCGACCTAAGCCGTCCAGCTTGCGTCCAAAGGTGCAAGGAGAGCCGAACCTATGAACGTATGATGCGTTCCCTGGGACTGAGAGTTAACACAGTACCACAATACAACTGGCATCCATGAGCCACTTGCTAGGTCTCTGTGGGCCACCTGTTGAAAAGCCCTGATTATTTATCCTGATAGATGATACACAACATTTGAAATTACACTGGCACTTCTTATAATATGTGAAAGTACTAAAAATATATGTAAGCTAGTGATCGCTGGACTTTATTATATTTTGTATTCTTTATCATGATGATGTGATCATGCCAGTTAAGTCACTTAAGTTTGACACTGTCTTCCCTATGTTCAGTTTTCCATCATATCAATCAATCAATCAATCAGTCTCAGTCAGTTTTGAATTTTGAATCACTATCACAATCTGCAAGTGATCAATGATCACTATGGACCTGATAATTTGGGATGTATTTTTACTTAAAAAATTACTTAATTGCCGGTAACAAAATCAACTGTGTACTGACAAAGTGTTTTTCTTTCTTTCAACTTCAAATTTCGACAACACATCTCTATCTCAAGTAAAAAACCTACCAATTTTACCCTCAAACAATAGTCAATATGTGTCTAGTAAATATGCCATAGTTAGACTCCCTTCGCATTCGATTAGTTCAATAATTCGTTTACTGTCAGCAGCTTAACTCAGTCTCTAGAGATTTCGTATTATTCAAATTATTGACTTATTTTTCACATATTGAATATTGCGGAGCCGGGAGTGACTTCGCAAATTTGGTCACGAAACAACACAGTTGTCAACAAAACTAGTATGCTACCATAAAAATATGTACCATGTTAATGTCTTACTTTAAGCTTGGACAGTAATTCGCCCGCTTTGTCCAAATTTTGAGGTTTACTGTCCCAAACTCTTTTCAGATTCTGGTAAATCCCAACAATTTCCTTCAAGTTGGCTGCCATTTTGTTTGTGCCAGTGTTGCCACTTTTCTTTGACAAAAAATATCCAAAACGGTGTCAAAAAATATCTAAAAAGATCTAAATCTGCGTGGAAAAGATCTAGAAAAAACATCCAAATTGAAAAAGTCAAAAATTACATATCTTTTGTTATGAATTACCCTACATAATCATGTCCGCACCTTCACTGATGTCTGCCTCACAAGATCCACAGGATAAACTTAGCTTGGATAATGAAGTTGAAGCTTCAGATCCAAAATGACCCTGGTATGCTTTAGCTGTTCAAATTTCTTTATAAGTGGAACAGTAGGCTTATTTTTCTAGTCTCAGGCCGAATTTTAATGGCACGATAGCATTTAAGAGGTCAAATTTCATCCTGTTTTTTAGGTTAGATTTGATATAATTCCTAGCACTGAAAACTCTTTCTACGTCAGCGTTTGAGTGGGGTAGTATCATGGCAGACATGGTACTTTTAAAGAGCTTACAGAATGGACTGTTTGATGAGGCATCTTAAAATTTTTTCACTTTAGTTTTTGTTTTGTTTGTCCATTCAGCTAACTTTATTTTGATATCTGCTTCCCCGCGACACTATTATCAGTAGCCACTAAAAATTTTCATAACTTTTATTAGGTATGTCCTTTACTGGCCTGAAGTATGTTATGCCTCACAGAAAAAAAGTGAAATATTTTTCAAAAACATCTAGATTTTCAAGAAGTCTCTGCTTTAATTGCCTTCAATAGGGAAATCTTGACAGCGTTTTCTTAAGTTGTTCTCTTCATTCTCTGTTAACAGTCCTTTTGTTTTTAAATCATCAATTTTTGATTCATTTAATATCCAAGGTGTGGCTTAGGAGCCAAATAGCTCTCTATAGTGTAAGTGAGCAAATCAGCTTAGAAGTTGGCAACACCAGTCTTTTACCGAGTGAAATAGCAAGGTGGGAATATCAAGTAATTTAACTTTATCAACAAACTTAGATTCGAACACAGTTTATTAACTTTTTGCACTTCCATTAGAATAGGTTATAAAAAGAGAAAGAATGACAAAAATGTTTTTAATCACTGTACATTCCATATAGTATTTCAGCTGTGTAGCACGTTCACTTTGTCTTGTTATTTCAAAGTGTGTCTCACAATTATCAGCCATTGCTGATCATAATTTGTGTCAACAGCTTTAAATTGTTAACATCTAGTTTTGCAATGCGGTGGTGTGGAACCATCATTCAAGGCTGTATATAATGTATTGTATTGCTGTTGTCTGACAAATTATTTGGAAAACAGTAAAGTGTTTCAGCAATGGTTGTTCCACAATTCCTTGGTACAATATTTAGATGAAGCAGAGCAGCTGCAATGAATGACGCAACATTTTATAAGTATTAACGATGGTTAGCTTCCTTGGCCATCATACCAACTGCACACTAGGCATTATCATACCAATTTCTTCACCTAACTGTTTGCTGATTAAAATCGGTCCTTTGTTCCTGCTATTGTACATCAACTTTTCAAATTGAACTGTCAAGATTTTTTACAGGCGAAAGATTGCAGTGACAAATTATACACATTGCGCTGATACTTCAACTTTTGATGATCTTTATCAGGATAGTTCTGAAAACAGATGTCAATCTTAAATGAAAACTGCAAGTCTCTGCATTGAGTTGGTATTTTCGCTTTCAATTTCACACTTGCCAGTACTTACAACAAGCTTTGGTCAATCCCAGTTTTTATCATCCATGCAAACCACTCTTTCCAAATTTTTTGCTCATACTTTCATGTTTTTTCAAAGTGAAAGCCACATAAGAAGTTGAGCAATTATCATTTCACATGAACAACAGAAACGCAAAGTGCCTCAGATAATTAAGCTAAGTTAGTATGATTTACGCGCGTTTTTTAATCAGTACCGTGGCAGATCTTTGTTGTTGACACCAGTGAGAGTTCAAAGTTCAAGTAATGGCAGTTGTCACAATGTACGTGCCAGACCAAAACAAAAAATATTGTATAAATATTTTAAAACAGTTTAATTATTAAATTGACAATGAAAGAAAAAAATCTATAAAATATCAAACTCCATATGATCAAAAGGATCTAGAAAAATATTTAGGATCTAAACGTCAAAAACAGTATCTAAATGCAATGAAAAAGATCTAAATTTGGATACAAAAGATCCAAAGTGGCAACACTGGTTTGTGCACGATGTATTGGCCAATAGCTTTTGCCCGCTTGGATCTACTAGAAAACAAAACAAACGAATGCTAACTTCCACGATGAGGAAGAGAAATATTTTCTGTGTCTTCTTCCATTCAACATCATCATCAACTTCCACTTCTGCAGTTTAAGCGTTGTGTGATATTGTGTGGAGGAACAGACTGTGTTGTTCCTACAGTCGAGCAAGGCAGAGCAAGACGCCTTGGTCATTAACTGCACCTAGGTCCATTTCCACTCGTCTTGGCATTGTCCTGCCATTGTATCAAGATGGACACAGGCGAGAGAGTGAAGTCGACATATTGCGCAACTCTTCCTCTCCTAAATTCAAGTCCTTGCACAAGTCACTTTCATCCAGTTATCCATCCATCCAACAGTCTGTCTGATAATATCATTTCCTACTTTGCCTCGGATAATTAAGCTGGTGGTGTTTTTTTTTTTTTACAGGCAGCTCTTTTCACAGGACTTAATTTTACGTTGGTTAGCCTTTGATAATATGCAAGTTTGGCACTGGTATCACAGTGTTGGTATGAATATGGTGTTTATAATGTGTTTCTTGGCGCTCATACTTATGTTTGGATGTCTTAAAAACCGCATCAATTGCTCACTGGCATCTTATTTATATTTTCCCATTTATTCTCCCGTCCTCTGAGAATATCATCATCATCATCATGTAGCAGGTCCTTTGCAGAACGTCGCTCTCATCACAGTTTGCCTGAAAGAAACTCGGTCTCTCGCCAGCTCTCCCGCCTCATGTACTTTCATACGGAGTCATATCTGGTGCCCAGTCAGCCCCTGCCCCTCCTTCCTGGTACTATGCCTTCTGCTATAATTTTTTTTTCCAATCCGTCGTGGCGCTTGATATGCCCAAAATATTTCAGCTTCCGAGACAGGATGCTGTTTATTAACCAATCTTCCTCTTCTTTGTCCAAGATATTCTGAGAATCTTTCTGAAGCATTTCAGCTCAAAAGCCCTTTTCTCTTTCTTAAGGACTGGGAGATAGTCCACGACTCACATCCGTACGTTGCTACAGGGAAGATGCATGCTCTCAAAATTCTAATTATTATCTTCTTGCTGGTGCTTAACCATAGAATATACTTTCCAGATATTTAAATTCTTTAACTTCAGTCAGGTACCATTCAATCCGCTTTGTAGTGGACTAGCTATTCTGCTTGCCTGCATTACTTCAGTTTTAGTAGTATTTATGTTCATGTTATATCTTCGGCATATTAAACTTAGCCTGTTTAAATGGTCTTGCAGTCTACTCCTCTCATTGTAGAACAGGCACTGATCGTCGGCAAACAGTAGCTCATTTATTGTGTACGGATAATTCTCCCTCATCCTACGTAAAATTAATACCTGTGAAATGAGATGCCTGAGAAAATCCGCCAACTTAACCATCCGAGTCAAAGTGAGAAATTATACTATCAGACTGGTAACAACACCATGCAGCAAATTAATTGAGAAGCAGAAGATCAAATTGTTTGGTCATCTCGTTAGAATGCAGCCACAACAACTACCAATACAAGCTATACACACGAAAAGATCTTATGTGAAAGCAGGAGGTCATTCTGGGAAAATATGGACTGATGACATTAACGACCTTCTACATTGACATGGAATGAGAATGACCATTACTGTTCATCAAGCAATGGATCGCAAACTGTTCCTCCCTACGGCGCCTATTGGTAAAAGAGGAAATATAAAAGGATCAGTGATCGACTGGGTTACATGTGTGGTCTTTCTTTTCTCTAGACCCTGTAATGCCTTTCAGAGCGAGGATTTGAAGAGGCATCTAATGTGAGCCTTACTCTGTGTGTGTGTGTGTGTGTGTGTGCTCGCGCGCGCGCGGGCTACATAGATGCTGGTATTCATGGCACCAAATAGTCTGTTCGATCCTTGCGTCTCGAATGTGGAAACTACTGGACCTGAATTATAATTTTATTGAAGACATAACATGCTATCTTCTCCCTTCCCATCAGTATCGTAGAACAATGGACATGATGCAAGTTGTTAACAAAAAATAGACCCAAATTATTATTGCCTCCTCTTCTTTATTCCTCTTGAAGGGAATGATTTTTTTGGAATGCACTTTGCTTAGTTATTCATCTCTCAAACTCAGAGGTCAGATGTAGGACTTCGGCAAGCATTTGATAAGGTTTACTTCGTCTGGACAGAACCAGTTCACGTTAACAAAGTTATATACCAAAGTATAGTAAATAAGAACATAGAACAAAGAATTACTCTTTCTTAGACAACCGCCATTCCCCCAGGGACCATGGAGATGTGTTATTGGTAGTTGGAACAGCGTCAGCTCTGACTGTAAAGTTATATGTGGGAGTGGCAGTCTCTGCCACATAAACTACATAAAAAAAGTTTATTATGATATTCTCTCAGACGTCTTCTCTCTATATCTTGCTACAGTTAGGCCTCTTCCAAAGTGGGACAGTCCATCTTTCACTGTCTGCCTCCATAGGTATTGGTCTGCAGCTGATCTCTCCCAGATGTTTGTGTCAATGTTGGTTATCTTCCAGGTCGCATTTGCATGTGTCCTTATAGTGTAGCTTTAGCCGTTCTGCAGATCTTGTTCTTGTTTCCAGGTTATCAGCATATAAGAGATGTTTGGAATGTGACCATCCTCGTCATTTCCCACCCAATGCAGGCATCTTTGCTTCAATCAAGAGTACATTTCTGGTATTCATGCTTTTTTCAGTACTCATTCGATGGGGACAAGGTCTCACTGTTTACCAAGAATGAGTTGAGTTGAGATGAGTTGAGTCAAGAATTGACACCACAGCACTCGGAGCATT